CAATCCCGGAGGGAGGAGGAGGAGGAGGAGGAGGAGGAGGAGGTGGAGGAGGAGGAGGAGGAGGAGGAGGGAAGCCGATCTTGGGAAGCGGGGAGGCCCCGCACTGGGCAGAGGCACAGCAGGGCTCTAAGAACTGGAGTGGCTGGTGCAAAGAGGGGCACGGGGTGAGTGTAACAGTCCAGAAAATGGAATGTGAACAGAAGAAAAACATTTTCACCGTGAGGGTGATCAACACTTTGCATGGGCTGTCCTGAAAGCACTGAAAACCTGGTAGTACCCAGCCCTGAGGAACTTGTGGCTGACCCTGCTCTGGGCTGGGGTTGTACTAGACAGTCTCCAGGCATCCCTTCCAGCTTCAACCATGCTGACACACTGTGAACAAGACATTTCACAAATGCTGCAAATAATAACTGTAATAATGGTGCCATCAGAAGCTCCTCCATTTCTTTCTAAGCCAAATGTGGATAATGTTGCAGATTTCATCTCATTGTTTGTGGTAGGATCCACAGTGCTGTCTGTTTAATGTTTTCTTCTATGACCAACTTCCATGCTTTTGCTTGAGATATTAATCACTGATTATTAACCAGTAAATTCTGGTCCTGACAGAGTAAGACCTCTTCTGATCTCCCACAAATGGGCTGAAGCAAACTTAAGCGTGTAAAGTAAAACCAACTTTTGCATGGAGGAATGCCATTTTGCAGAAGGCGGCAGCAACTTGTAGCTTATTTAGTTTGTAAACCTGATGCTGGTTTATTCCTGAGAGTGAGCTGCATCTTTGAGTTAAGAGTCTAACAGTCCCTACAGCTCAGCAAAGAAATCCTGTGAAAAGCCTTTCACTGTGGACTAAGGTCAGAAAAATTTTCTTAGCACTTTGGGTGTCAAAGTCCAAAGGCTAGGTCACTTTGCCCTGCTCTGAAGGTGTTGGAAATCTCTTGGATTAGGGGAGTTTCCAGAGAGCCAAAGATGGGATCTCATTCTCCTGAACTTCTGGAGGTGGTGAAGTAGGACACACACCAAGGATCTGGCTTTATGAATGGGGTAAAAATTGAGAAAATTATTATCTGGAGCCAATAACCTCATATCCTCAGTCTCTTTGACCCCATTATCTAGATTTCACCTAATTTCAAGCATCTGTTCTAAAACCAGCATCAAAACACTGTCAGTTAATCTGCTGTTCATCCATCACACAGAACAAACGTGACCATTCCTACTAAATAGTGATTGCCCATGGGTGGTATGTGTACTTGTGTTCCCTCATACAGCCCACTCTTTCACACAGGTCTCTATTGTTCCCACAGTTTTATGTAAATTCATGCTAATCTCAATCTCTGTACATGTGGGCATATTTCAGCTGTTTGATAAGGATCAAAGGACTCACCCCTTGCTATATATTTTAGATTCAAACAAACTGGGATTAATTTGATGTGAGGAGAACAGCTTTTAATTCTCCCTCTAAAGGCATTAAACTACCAACATTAACTTTCTGTGCTCAGCTCTTGGGGTCTACAAGGAAAAGGTGTGAGCAAATTTGATAGCAGGTATATTGGCATGTGAATGTAAATCAGGTAGAGAGTTGTAGGTAAAATGAATATCAGGCTAAGATGTGTGGTGCTTTACAAAGAGGAAAAATGAACCAAATTAAGCTCAAACTACATTTTTTGTTCCCACAGTGTTGATAGATTGGGTGTTTGATCTGAACACTGTGGATGGATTGTTTGGAAATAGTAGGTCGTGAGTTCATTTGTTAATGAAAATGTGGAGGGCTCTCATGTTCCACTCTGAAATGTAAGATCTCTTTGTCAGTACAAGTCTTACCACTAATTTGATTTGTTTCTGTCAGTGACCTGTGATCCCTTTCTCCCCCACTCTCCTTAATGTTCTCAAAAAAGATACAGTCCTTCATTTTTGCCAGTTTGGATGCAGTGGTGTCCTTTCTATTTACAGACTAATTGCTGAATAGTGAAATGTAGATAAACAATAACCTGTCCAACTCAAAAATACTGATTGCATGCCTCCTCTTTACCACTGCTGTCATCACTGCAAAAGCTCTATTAGATTTTACGGGGCACTTGTGAAAGTCAAGAGATTCCAGGGAATTTTACCTTTCTGTCCAAGCTAAGGGAAGATATCTCAAGGCTTGAAGCCCTCTTCAGCAAAATCATTGCAAGCAGGTCCTGCTCTTTCTTAAATTGTCAAGGCGACAGCTTGAGTGCATCCGCTGAGTGCCACTGTGACAATCTGATCACCTGGGGAGAGAAGTGTCTCACAAACAGGCAGATCCCAAGCCATTTTGGTAATTATAGGTGAAAACTAACAGCTTGCCAGTGCAGATTCTTGAGTGCCCAAGGCGTGTGCTTACAGTAGGAGCGTCCACAGTACAATTGCTGCATTCAGTGGTTGTGCAGCAGCTCATCCAGGGGCTCCAGGGGACTCCCTGAGGAAAGAGTGTTGTAAATAGAATAATCAGGAGATGATAAATGTAATGGACAGTAGTTTTTCAAGCTCCCAACCAGTTGGACTTGAGAGACCCCATGCCAGCTAATGCAACTACATGATTGTCAGGTGCTGGCTGGGCATCTTTGGTTTGCGTTTCAGTTGCAAACCAAAGTAATGCTCCTATTCAAAGGTTCCTTGATTGCTTCTCCCAGTAACATTTTAATCTTCCACCAGCCTAATCTTGCCAATTCTCTAGCTTTCACCAGTCACTGAATAAAATATCAGTCTCATTACAGGATCACTTACTATCAATGTTAATGTTGCCAGCATTGACATCAAACATGACATCAGGCTGTCAATTTTCTGCTCATGTAGGAGTTAATTAAAGTGGTTGCTAGTTGGTCGGAGAATATCTGTGTATTCAACAGGTCTTTTCCTCAATTTAGGCATCAGTGCCAAAATACAGGGTGTGAAAGTGTAGTTTAGGCAAAGTGTAGACACCTAAATCAAGAAGCATGGAAAATGCCAGCCAGCTGCTTTCCTGCTTACAGCCTGGAGATATTTGAATTGCTTAAGCACCACAAGGTTTGACTCTGGCATTTCCCAGTGCCTAAATCTTTGGAAAGACCCAGAAGTGCCTTTGTCAGGACTAGGTGTCTGCCTAAATCTGACTGTGATTTCCAATTAGGTCGTTTCCCCAAGCATCTCTCCTGAAAGTCATGAAGAAGTTGGTGGCCTCCATTGGAATCAGGAGAACTAATTTTACACAGAATTAGGAGTGTGTGATCTTTACACTTTAAAATGCAGAAAGGGAATGTCTCTTCTTTCCTCTCCCAAAATATAGTAGCCAGCTAGAAGCAGAACTGACCAAAGCCATCAGAGGTCTTCTGCCTGAAAGAAGAGGGCTCAACACCTCTCATCTGGGCTGGACATCCCAGCCACTGATGCACGGTTCATCTCTGCCAAGAGCTCCGTGCATCAAGAACTAGAGGGAGCAAGATGAAACCTAGTGTTAGGATATAGTTACTTGGGTTTTACTTCTTTTCCTTTGCTTACCTACCACTCACCTACAGTGAGTATTCCTTCCAAAGGTACAGTAGGAATTAGAATTAGCATAAAAACTACCGTAGGCTGATGAAAAAAAAAAAAAAAAAAAAGTTAATTCTGTATGTTGCTTCATGGAGATATTGGCCGTTTGGCAGCTGGGTGAGCCCACCTTGTGACCAACCACAAATGAAGGCAGAAGGGGTAACCTTTTATTTTGAAAGTGAGGGAAAAAGAGCTCCATGGCGCTACCTGTGCCAGGCACCAGGTGAGTTAACAGGCGAGCGGCCACGGGCAGCTGCAGCAGCAGCAGGACCATGCCTGGGCCTTGCAACCATACAGAAAGGACCTAGGCTGGCTGTAGTCTTTCTGCATACCCTGAGGGCACCACAGCAATGACTGAGATGGTTAAAACTCCTGACTATGGTTTAGAACCTTATTAGTGATGCTCCCTGAGGTAGTGGAAAACCAAGGCTACAATAGCCTTTTTTGAATTTTGGGTTCTGGGCTAAATTTGGAGGACAAGTAGTCTAGGAAAAAGAGAAATTATGTTCTTTTTACTTTTAACAAGGTGAGTGGATCTGGAAGTCTCTGGAAAAAATTGTAAATATGGAGTCTGACTGTACTATTTTCTGTAAAGATAATCCTCAGACTAGAACTGCTCTTAAATGAGTACTGAACTGTAAAGACAAGAGCATGGATTTGAGCTGTCTGGAAAAGTCCCTTTTCGTTAGGCAGAATTTACAGTTTTTGCTGCAATTGCATGTAAAGTAACTTCCTTGCGTCCAAGACTCAGCTGTTTGATGAGTTAACAAGACTGGTGTGACCGCGTCATAGAGTACCACATCTAAGTTTCTGTTAAAACAAGTGAATTTCTAACTGTTTTGCTTGACAATAAAATCTTCCCACAGTCTAATTAATGTAACGTTGTCTGTGTGAGTCTGCAGACAGCCTTAACAGAAAAGCATGAACCTTTCCACCCCATTCATCTCAGTGAAGTGCCAGCTTCACACTCCTTGGTTTCACTCAATGTCAGTGCCACTTGCTTTATTGCTGAGTGTTTTATCTGAAGGTTTGGAAGGGGCATGCTGGGACATGCAGGAAAGGAAAAACACAAGAAAGAAGAGCAATGATACAGAAATGAAGAAATCATCAGCCATCCTCTGCATGTGGGTGATGGATTGAGCCCTTCTCAGGACTGCAGAGCAAACGAGAGCTGGGGCTCTGGCTGGCCTCACCTGTCGCAACCTTCCCTGAGGGCAGCCCCTCTGTATGTGCACTGCTGCCAAAGGTGGAAAGCTTTCCCCAAAGCCAGCTGAGATTGTCCCTCCTGCAAAGCAAGCTGGTTGACTCTTGTCCTTGTGCCTTCTCCCACTCTTTCTGCTGTAGTAATCTGAACCAGCATGAAGACCAGTGCGAGTGAAAATGTGTAAACATCCCGAGCGCCGTTAACTGGAGATGTTGGCATTGGCACTGATACCCCAGTGGGTCCATGCAGGGTCAAGTCTTCCTCTGCCTGCCCTGTATCCAAAGAGTACCAGTCTGCATTTGGCCTTATCTCCATCAGAGTGACTCCTTCCCTGCACAGGTGCTTTTGCAAAGAGTGACCCGTTCCTTCTCTTTCTTGCTTTTCCACTTGCCTTTTCCGGGTGGGTTTCCAATCCATTGCAGTCAGAGACTCTTCTCCATGTCACTTGTGTGGGCCTCGCCATTATCAGGCTATCATGGTCAATAGCCACCATGAGAGAGGAGTGGCCACCTTTGCGGGCTATAACTCCTGAGATGTAGTGGCCACCTCTGCGGGCTATACCTACTGAAACATCTCTAATGCTTATGGTGGGAATACTGTAGCTTTGTGTGCTCGAGCTTTGGTACCTTTGTTACAAATGCACACAACATTCCTCTTCATGTAGAGGAAAATTCAAAGCTACACTGCAAAATGTTTGGCTTGCTTCTTTTAAACCTAACAACCAAACCCCATGATTTTTTTTCTCCTCTCTGTGCTGTAGCTTTTTCACACCTTGCTGCCTAAGAGCCCTTTCAGGTGCACTGAAAGGAGTCCCTGCTTCTTTGGAGAAGAGGTGGTTAAAAAGGCACAGGCCTGTGAAGGGGAGATGGGGCTACGGGAGCTGAGTGAGGCTGAGCCAAGCCAGAGGAAAAGGCAGCATCGGCTGAAGTGAAGGAGAGGTAAGGGCCTGGAGGGATAGGGGAAGGAAGACTGCCAGAGCCTGTCTTTCACTGACTGAATGTCCTGTGTTTGAGTGAGTGGTGGGGCTTTTTGGTAGCAGGGGAGGGGGCTATAAGGGTGGCCCCCTGTGAGAAGCTTCTCGAAGCTCCCCCAGCTCCACATCAGCTCCACTTCTGTTTGGGATATTGAGCCAATCGGCTGCGCCTCTGCAATAACGTATTTAAGAAGGGATGTGGTGACAGGCAGTCGGACTTGTGACGGGCAGTCGGACTTGTGACGGGCAGCTGCATGAACACCAAGGTCAGTGGAGGAACTGAGGAAGAAAGGAGGGGGGAGGTGTGCCGGAGCAGAGACCCCCCTGTATCCTGTGGTGAGATGGCAGGGCGGCCCCCCTGCCACCCATGAAGATCTACGGTGGAGCAGACATTGATTTATGGCCTGTGTTTTTCGCCTGCATGATCAAGGTGCTGTGCCCGAAGAAGGCCGGGGTCTTGTGGGAAAAGGCAGCCCCGCTGCTGTAATTCAGCGCTGGGAGGATTGCAGCATGCGGGGGAGTCCCACGCCAGAGCAGCTCAGGAAGGGCTGCAGCCGTGGGAGGGAATCCAGTTGGAGGAAGTTAGTGACCCATGACGGAGCAGTGTGGGGAATGCTGCGGACCATGGGAGGAACTCATGTCAGAGAAAAGTTTGTGGAGGACTGTCTCCTGTAAGAGGGGGACCACGATGGAGCAGGGGGAAGAAGTTCCAGAAGCTCCCCTCACCAAAGATGAAGCAGCAGCACTGACTGCACCCCCCATTCCCTGCCCCTGCGCCACTGGGGGAGGAGGTAGAGATATCGGGAGCAGAGCTGAGCCCGGGAAGAAGGGAGGGGTGGGGGGAAGGTGTTCTCAAGGTGTGGCAATGATTCTCACTCTCCTACTCTGTTAAGTGTTGTTAGTGTCGGTAATAAATGTATGTTCTTTTTTTTTTCTTCCCCCAACGAGTCTGCCTTTTGCTCATGACCATAAAGGGTGATTTTTCCCCATCCCAGTCCTATCTCGAACCCCAAGCCTGGCTCTCTGTCCCTTCTTATTGCTGGAAGAGAAGGGGAAGAGAGTGTCTGCATGGTGGTTGGCTGCCAACCAGGCTCAAACCATGACACTGAATAAACAACCCACATAGCAATGGCAATAAATAATTTTATGAGGAGCTAGATAAGCTTTTAAGGAGAAAAATGGTAGGGGGTGTAACTGCAAATTGAGGAGGAAAGCGGCTGAGATGGGTTTCCCTGTTGCTGTCTGTCCTCTGTTTGGCAGCAGCTCGTTTGTGAAAAAAGCAATCAAGAGTAGTTTATGATGCTAAGACATTTCAATGCCTTGCACTCAGTGAAAATCATTGATGTTTCTACTTTAGCTAGATTTTGCTGCTTGCAGTTGAAAGCATTTCAGTGCCTGAAATCCTATTTTGCTAAACCTGGCAATGAGTAAAATCACAAGTTCCTTAAGAAAATCCTCTGGGCTTGAAAGGGGATGTGTTCATTACCCCTGCAATTAGAAGAAAAGCTCCACCTCCATGGGGCACTCAGTCCCTTCTGATTCCCCTCCTCACAGCTGCCTAATCACCGGGTGCCATTCAGATTGTAGACTGCCACTATTTAATGCATATTGTAGAAAACTGATTATGTGTCACTGTGAAACACTCTGAGAGCCAGGTCATAAATATTTCCATTAACTAGTCTCTCTACCGTCCCCAGGACCCCACTTCCTGCAATACAGCTAATCCCTCAAAATGCAGTTTAGGTTTTGGTTTCTGTGGAGCTGACCCATATGCAGAGGAAATGTTACCTAGGGAACAAGGTTAAATGATGGGTTTATGGACCTACTCTCTTATTTCCCCTTTATTTTATGATGGAAATGTAAGATGTTGTGAATGGTTTATCATAACATATGCCAGCAGAAGCATGCCAAAAATAACAATCTGAAGCAGCACATGGTATGTAACGCTTGCATACTTCTCCGAGAGTTAGAGAGATCATTGAAACAACACATGTCAGATGCTATTACTGTCATATTGTTGGGGCCATCTGTTAGAACCCAAGATCAAGACCTGCTGCTTTCCCTGGAAGAGCAGCTCTGCAAAGGACCGTGGCAAATTGAACTAAATCCACTCAGGCCTGGGGAGTTCATCTGAAGGGTTTGCTTGTTTTATTTCAAGATTTCATGAGGGATAAACCCAACAGTATATTTTGGATATTGCTTCAGGGGAAGTCTGGGGAAAAGCTTTTTAATTTTTGTTTGTTTGTTTGTGGGTTTTTTTGAGGGACTAAATAGCAGGTACAAGATAAGGACTGAATTGTGAGGATGGGATTTGTACATTTGCACCCACAGGTGTACTTCTTGGGAAAACATGTTCATAAATAAAGTTCATGCAAATGTGCACATGCAGTTATTTGCAGCTGATAAACAATACTTTGACAGCAACCTGCAGTTGTATATGACAACCGATTAATGCAGTTGACTACACAGATACAAATTTTCAAAGCAAAGCAAAGACTTTTGAAGTTGCATATGGAAATGAATGCCACATCCTCCCAGTGGTCTTCAAAATCTCAGCTAGAATACCTGTAAATCTGTTTACTATATATAAGATGAAGTTCTATATAATTTTGGATCCACAGGGAGTTTTGTTACTGACAGCAGTAGGTTGGATTTCACACATACGCTTACTGTATCAATATAGCTACTCACACACATCTATACATATACATATAGATATGTATTTTCAAAAGTATTAATGTAATGGCACAGCTTTGCGTTCCACTGCATTAATATAAGTTTATGTAATGGGTATCTGTTTTACCGATGTGTTTTGTAACAGTTTTAAACAATGTCCTTACTGACACCAGAATACTAAAGAATTAAATGTATTGACATGGAAGATGGGAAGTATCTGTTATGAAGACAGATATGGTTCAAATGCTGTGAAGTGGGAGCACTTTTCAAATGTAGGTAAATGACATCATAGATCTGGAATATTTTTTCAGGGGTTTTGTTTTACTGCATGTTGGTAAAATACTTGGACCCAGCTCCTACCCATTCTGCACTTTCCAGTTAGTGGGGGATCTTGAACGTCAAAAAGCATCCAGAAGCTTTGCTTCAACTCTGATACAGAAAGAGCTTCTGCTCTGAAATCTCAGGCTGTGCTACAGCATATGGTTACTTTTCCTACGGACTCAGGATGCACATGTTCGTCGATAGAGCCTTCTTCTCCTCCCAGAGGACCCCAGCACAAGGGGGTATGATAGCAGGAGAGACCTTCCCAGGGAGGGCACATGAGAGAGCCCAAAGAAGGAGGAGGAACAAAACTGGTACTGAAATAAGGAGGGAGCAGCAGGGAGATCCCTGTTACTCCTCAGAGCAGGAGGGAGATGCGTGGGGAAGAGAGAGGACTGCTGGGGATTCACTGCTAGCGACACCTCATGATTCTGCCTGCTGGCTATTCCCGTGTTTTACCCAGAGATTGTTTCATGTAAAATCTGTGGATGGTCCTTAGAGTTGGGGTAGGATCCAGCTCCCTGTTCCCAGGAGAGAACTCTCAGTGGCAGGACAGACTTGAAGTTTATTAACTGTGCCTTCTGGGCCTGGGGAGGGAGCTTTTGCTTGTGGAGGTCAGACTCTGGGGAGAGAACTTTATGCTCACAGCAATTTTATAATCTACCACTGTTCTTTCCTCTGAGTCTCTTGTAGGAAGCTGGTGTCAGAAAGATGCTGCTGCAGCTGTTGCTGGTGAGAAGTAATGATCCCAGTCGCAGCACCCTCTATACACATGCCACTGTCTGGGGATACTAACAGTACAAACTGATTATGCAGTGCAAAAATATCTAACAGCCTTCTATTTATTTCTTTTCCAGGAGAAATTCCCCAAGTGGATCTCTGTCACTCCCCCCAACCATTTTTACTCATTACTGTGTTCAGTCAGAACTGTTTGAAATACAGTATTGGAAGCCTTGTTTAATTGAAATACATTGTGTCCAGACTAATTCAGAAGAGCCAAGACTGGTTTTGTGACACATTGGAGAACTCTTAAGTCCTTGGAAGAGGGAAGCAAGGTGGAACTGAAAAATGGTGTGGCAGTTTTGGGGCCAGGCAAAGGGCATGTTGTCAAACCACAGATGCTGTGGAGTTATTTGTCACTCTCGGGAAGAGCTAGCCTAAAAGGGAAGCTTCCATAATATGAAATAACCTCTCCTTCCTTCCCTCTCTGAGTTTGACCCCAATGTTATTTGGGGTAGAAGCATTTTTCTGAATTTGAAATTTGTGCCAAGCGACAAGCTCCCAGGACAGGGCATTTCAGCTCAGTGAGACTGATGTTCTTGTCACTTTTACTGCCACCTCCAGCAGGAATGGGCAGTGATGCCAATTTCCCCGAGCAGCTGCTGGCGCCTGCCACCAAAAGGGTCTCTGGGGGGGATCCACCAGCCGTCTGGCTCTGGCTGAGGGACCACGCAGCTTCCAGCATCTCCAACCTGGGGCACGTGTGCCAGCAGTCAGGACGACTGATCTCGGAGGGCTGCCTGGGATTAAGCAAAAGCTTGAGATGCTTTGACTGGCAGCTTTCCGGCTGCAGAGGATGGTATTTTTTGACTAATCTTTGTTTTGACAGCACGTTCAAACAATTCTGAAGCCCCTCTCAAGATTTCCCACAATCTAAGTGCTCATGTTCCCTCTTTTCTGGCACTTCAGATAGGGTCTCCAATTCATTTAATGTCTAGCCTGCATGTAACCAGAAAAGCTCTCAAAAATAGGTCTACTTTTAGTGTCATAGAGAAAGACAGTCAATTCTTTAACAATCTGACCAGCACTGAGGCAATTCCTGTGTATTTCATAGTAAGTAGTAATAGAAAACTTTCATAAAGAAAACCCTAAACCATCCCAAACTGTGCTTTCCATGAATGAATTCAAGCACAAAATCTGCCTGCCGGTGGTCTGCAGGAGTTCAAACCCAAGATGTGTCAACATGAGTGCCATGTCCAATCTCAGTCATAATGACACAGAGAGGGAGTATTGCTCGTCCCTCAGCCAGGCACTAAGTAATTCCTTGCTGGAAGAGGTTTGTTGAGTCCCAGCAGGGAAAGAGGCAGCCCCACTGTAGAAGCTATCCAATTATGTGGATTTTTTCAGGAAATGCTGTAAAAACGTTTTCTTCCATGAGCCTGTGCTTGAGCTATATATCTCTAGTGATATGATATTTTTTGTTCTGCATGGATTTTTGCTGTGTTTAATGATGTGTCAGGTTTCAAAAATTTGGCGATTGAAAGATTAAAATGGGTAGAAGGTGGCAGAAGGATGATTTGTTTGTTTGTTTGCTGTTTTCTTGCTTGATTTTCCTTAGGTTAGAAGCGGGCAGAAGAATTCAACTAAACCAAAGCCAAAATGTGTTTTTTCAATATTGAGGAAATATAGACTTCCTTGTTTACACTGGGAATATTCTTTAATGAAGATAACACTTGAAGTAATAGTATATATGGGGGAGGCTGGGGCTGAAGCTATTTCTCCTAAGGGAACTGTGAATTACTATGTTTCTCTTTCCTCTCATTTCCTTCCATTGGTAGCAAAAAGTATATCTGTACTGTAGCTTCAGTCCGTGTGGTTTAATATCCTAGACTGGCTTACCCTCGGGACTGTAGCAGAAGAGGGGTGAAGGAGTGTATTTAGAAAAGGAGATAGTTTGTCAAGAATTAAAGAGCATTTTGATCAAAACAAGACCCCTGAAATGCAATAGATTCAATAGAGATGATTTCAAGTACGTTGTCTAGCACTTCTGTGCTGCTTTTGCTGCACCCTATGGTTTCTGTATTCAGAGGTGGCAAAAATACAGTCTGTCTTACCAAGCCATGGTGTTGTAAGAAACGGAGAGTGCCAAATATCCTGTCTCTGCTGATGGCTGGCAGCAGGTCCTCGGGGAGAGAGTGAGAGAAACCGGGCAAGCCCCAAGGGAGCCTTGCCAGCACCCAGTGCCGGTGGCCCAGCTCCCTGGGGCTCTGCCTCCGTGGGGTGGGGTATCTCTCCTCCCCAGGAGCTGCTCTGCCAGCCTAGACCTGCCTTTTGGGTCCCTGTCCCTCACCGACCCCCCTTTCCTCTGCTGATGCAGGAACCCTGCCCAGGAGCTTTTTGTGCCTTTGGAAATGTGCCACTGTGCTTCCCCCTTGAAGGGCAGCACAGAGGGAGGAGGCAGAAACAGCCCCTTTTTTGGCTTGAATCCTACCAGGTTTAGTTCAGAAGAGGTTGGTGCCTTCCACTGTGCCAAACGTCTGTTCCTAGAAAGCATACAGTCACAGAGCTGTTTAATAGACTCCTCACATCGCTGGGGGGAAGCCATTTATTAATTTTATCTGTTTTTTTTCCCCTGGGAAAGTAGTCCAAAGCCTGAAGTGTCATCAGGAAAAGCTAGAGGAACACTGACAGTTCTTGTTTTGCAAATTATCAAATGAACCTATTTCCCTCTGTTGCTGGTAATGTCTTTCATTATGCCTTTAATGAAATTGTATTGACATATTTATGGTCTAATAAAATAAAAAAAAAAAGAGATACCCTGGGAAAGCAGTTTTCAGGAGCTGAAATGTTTTAATAATGGTTTCGTAAATGATTTTGATTTTTTTTTTAGTCATAAACTTTGGCAAAAGGAATTGTGGATAATTCAAAACCACTAATGAAATGGTCTCTGGACTGTGCCATTTAAATCCTCTAAGATGTATTTTCTGCTGCCTCTCCTTTAAATTTGATGCCCTTCATTTTTAACATCTATGTGTAGCTGGCTACAATGTGTTGTGTCTTCTTCCCACACAGCCAATTTATCCACTATTATACTTTCCTACTCTCTTATCACTGGGAAAACAGCACCTTGACATACCATTTTGTGATTTATACTTTAAAATACCCACCTGGTCCAGTTTTATTATGTCCTCAGTTGTTGAATTCAGAGTGGGTTAAAGTAGGGACTTTAGCATCTGTTTTGGAATTGTTAGGGATTAGCCAGAAAATTCTGTAATGATTCTGATGAGCATCTGTCATTTTTTTTTGTGGAGCAGTGGTGAGAGCTTCCATATAGACTGTCATCTCTGGTTGATCTGGATCTGGACATTTCCTAAACCTGGGATCCAATCTGTTAATTGTACTCATCTGCTTGAGTGCAGTTCTGGTTTTAGTAGTAGATGATGGGTAATTTTTTTTCATATTATTTTTCTTTTGTCAGCTCATAAAATGAGCCTGACTGAGAGCTATGTGTTTTCACTTCACTTATATGAGTCGGCCAATTGCTGTATCCAGCTCAATTAACATCTGAATTTGCTTTCATGAAAAAAAAGGGTATTGGTTCTGTCCCAGAGGTCACAGAAGACTAAGAAAATAAAGGTCATGATGTATCTTGAATTCAGAATGTACAGATGTTATACGAAGATAAAATCTGAAACCCAGAAGGGAAAGGAAGACATATTTGCAGCTACACTATGTATATGTAAATGGTAACAGATGATTTAGTGCTGGAAGAGTGTGGTATCCTTTTTTTCCTCTAACAAAACAATGTCATAAAAATAGGCAAACAAGAAAAAAACAAAATGGACCAATGAATAACAACAGATATTCAATCACTCTTAAATATGAGACTGGGGGAATATATACTAGTTTCTTAGGATATGGCTAGTAAATATAGAGACCCTTAGTGGCAAATCTGGCTTCTCAGAACATTAGTTCCTATATCACAGATGAAAATAAGGATGCAGACATGAAAAATAAAGAAGAGAAACAATATGTATGCTCATGATATCTCTGTATAATCCAAATCAGTTGTCTGCAAGAGAGTTAAAAAATACTTTATGCATTCAGGGAATACAGCTTTCCATGAGAGAAATAAAATAGATATATTTATAATGTATCAGCGCTGGTCTCATATTTCCTTTCTTTGGGGTTTACTCTGATTTGATTTCACAGTAGTCATGCTTTTCCTTTTGAAATTCACCATCCTTTAACTCAGATGTAGGGACAAAGAACATTTCAGAGGCAGAACTCTTGTCACAATTTTTGCTTATGTTGTAATTTCATCCTGTTTCACATTTTCAGTCTCCTTCTCTGCCTGATGTGACTTCTGGCTTGAGCTTGGGCTGAGTAACTGCAGAGTTCACCGTGTTTGAGACATGACAAGTGCAGATCTAATACATCATTTCATCCTCCATGGGGTGGGGGGAGACATGTCAGTGAAGAGTACAAGGAGTTTGGCTCAGTTTTTCAAGAGAGACGTGCATTATAGTTTTCAAAGTTTTATGAAGTTGTCATCATTAAAGCCATTTGTCTAGAAATCAAAGTGTGGCTCTTACAGACATATTTGCCTATTTGCCTGTTTGTATTTATTATGGGCTAACATTAGGAGTGTGGCTGCATTGGCTTAGGTACTAAATGCCACGTTTAGATATGGGCAGCTTTTCTTTTCATTTAATTTGATCATCTGAGAAGCAGTCCCTCTGTGCACAGATGCCTTTGGAAGGCGTGCTGGGTTGGTGTGGGTGGTGGGCGTTTTTGGTAAGGCGGGAGGGGGCTACAGCGGTGGCCCCTGTGAGAAGCTTCTCGAAGCTCCCCCAGCTCTGAGTCAGACCCGGCTCTGGCCAGGGCTGAATCAATTAGCAACGGTGGCTGCACCTCTGTGATAACATATTTAAGAAGGAGAAACTGGGAGGAGGAGTTGTGAAGGAGACACCTATGCAAACACCAAGGTCAGTGGAAGGAAGGAGGAGGAAGGGGAGGAGATGGGCCAATGCAGATCCCCATGACCATAATAGGTGAGTCACCCTTCCCTGTCCTTATCTCGATTTCCAAGTCTTTTGCTTCATTTGCTCCTTCCCACTCCTGAGGGGAAGGGGTGAGTGAACGGCTGTGTGCTGCTCAGTTGCCCTTTGAGCTCAAACCACGACAGTAGGACTGCAGACAGAGAGCTAAGTCACCTGTGACCTCATCTGTGATATATCTGCTGCAGATAGACAAGCAGCGCACATAGTTTTACCTGAGAATTAAGGCTGCCCAAGTATATTCCTTGACAAAATCACAAACCCTAAAGTGCAAAAAATCCTAAATTGAGGCAGCATTGAGAGCTCTTTCTAGAGGCACCACCAAACATTAGCCTAGTGCAGCTGCAGCTCAGTTATACCAACACACCAATGACCTTTATTGCAGCAATGCTGTTACTGTGTATAGTCAAGAAAGAAAAATGATGTAGTAATGCACAGATTTAAAATTTATAGTATTTGATTATCTAGTGATGCATTGAATTTTACCATAAAAGAAGAAAAACAAATCAAGCTGGTAATTTTTGCATATTCTACTTTACCTAAAACTCACACTTAACTAAAATATATCATGGTTTTTAGAATGAGGGATGATTCACTGTTAACTGAATCCACATGCAAACTCATACTGAAATCTACCCATTCCCCATTTCTTGTTTATATTCATAATATACACAGCACTGAAGTGACTGTAGTCTCCAGGTGTCAGTGTGGGATGTTCTGTTCAGTCTCACAAACAGAGAACTGAAGCTCAGACAGAGTAAATGAGTTCCCTAAGGTCACATGTGATGTTTGCAATAGGAACAGAGGCTGCACTGAACTTCCCTAGTAGATCATTAAATGCTAGACTGGCCTGCCATTTCTTTGCCAGAACAGGCCATCAACCAACCAGGGCAGAACACGAGAATGTTTGTGGTCTAGTGTGCGCGTGTGTTTGAAGACTAGTTTACGACACAATAATCCAATGCTCTTATTGAAACCATTAATGCTTTTCATGGGATCATAAGAGCATTGGAGCAGACTTACAGCCCTGTGTCCTCTCTTCTGTGCCTCAAAATCAGGTGAACCAGTTCTGCAGCAAACAGGTGTAGGACTTGGCTCCCACAGGATATCTCATCCAAGTCTCAAACAGAGATCTGCATGACCTTAAAGCAACACTCTTGCATACTCATAGAAGAATATGTTTTGAACTGTGGTATATGCTTAGCCTCAATTACAGGTTGAGGTGTTGAATTTTTCTGGTCTCTGTTTTATAAAATGTCTTCTGGTTCTTGTGACACAGAAATACATGAAACATAAAACAGAACACAAATATAATTTAGCAGCATAGATTAGAAGCCCATAGATACTAGAAGCAAGTAAGCCAGTTGTCATCTCTAAAAGGTCTGAAATTTATCTGTTTGTCTGAACAGTACAAATATTCTTAGAGCTATTCTAAAGATGATTTTAAATGATGGATTCATAAACTAACAGACTTTGTAACGCATGTGCACAAAAATTTACTCAGTATGTAATGTATTTCTTACTAATTCGCAAAGGCTGCTATATGTCCTCAGAAAACACAGACATATAAATGTAGCTGTTAGCTAAAATTTTAGTGCAATTTTAGAACTGATCTATTCTGAAGTCTACTAAATTCTATATTGTTTATTACTTTGTCTAAATAATAGTATTCCTGGTCCATTTTAGCAGGGAAATTAATGATGTCTTTTGTTATTGATGCCTTAAATGTGTCTCAGGCTATATCAAAGGACAGTACACTTTTCATTTAACGTGGAACTTCAGTGATAACACTGCCCAGGTTTTCACAGGACTGATCATCATGTTGCAGAAAAAATTATCTTTTTTCTTGAATGTTATTTAGTTTTAAAATTTGATAATATACAAGAAAATGAAGATTCCTTTTTTCGTGCATAGAAGTAAATAGCAACCATTTGATGAATCATTGCAGCATGTGTAGTTATTAAATTTCACTCTTCAGTCAGCTTGTTTTAAATAAAAATCTTGCATAGTTCCTTACCGGTGTTTCCTATCTAGCTTTGGCTTTTGTAGGGGATACTGGAGAGTTAGTAACAGAGGCCTGCTTGTTCTCTTGATCTGTGAAAGATGAATTGTACTGCAGTGCAGTTTAGGAAAGAAAGGTAACAGTGCAAGGAAGCCCAGTCTGAATTCATGCCTGGCTATATAAACATCATCTTTATTCTTCATTGTCCACCACAGAACGTGAAGTGTCTTTGTGTTTGCTAAATCGTTGGCCCGGGTCTTACAATTGCCATTCAGGGTCTACAGCCATGACATTGCAGCTGTCTGTGAAACTGAATTCAGAACAGCCTCACTCTGGCTCAGATGGCAGATGAAGGGCTTGGGTCAACTGCTGGCAATATTTGGAACATGAATTTAGTTGGTTGCCTGAGGGTAAAGGGGTTTGTATTCACTTAGTCCCCTGAGCCCCCCTGGATGAGCCACATCTCATGGTGAATGCTGATCTTTGCTATGGATCTGAATTGATCTAGCTAATGGAGCTAGACCTCACCACCTCTGACCTTCCCTGGACCTCCTTGTCGGACTGGACGGGCATTCTCCTCCGAACTGTACCTGGGGTTGCCTTTGTGGAGAGCTGTGAACCAATGCTTATCGCATAGCTCCTTTTGAAGTGTCCTTGCTTTAGAGCTGTCATCTTACATTTACGGCCCTAACATTAGAAGTGTGAATTCTCAAATAACAAACAGAAGTTTTCTTTCTCTGTAGACTTAGTACACTGTGACATCTGTAAATACTTTCTGCTCTCCCCTGTGAGTCCAAAATAATACTGTAGCACATACAGGTAGGCTCAGGGCAGGAATCACCAGAAGTCCCTACTCAAATTAGGAGCTCTCTCCTGTTTTTGTTGTTGCTTTAGTGGAACCTGTAGTTTCTTCTAAAGGAATGCCTGCTCCTCACCACTCCTCTCAAAAAGCTTCCTGAGATTTTCTATGTGATAAGTTGTCTGTAAAATATCTTCATGAGTAAAGTTGGTAGAGTATTTCAGACATGTTCCTGCAGAGAGTGTAGGACCATTCCAGGAGGGGGGTCACCTGGATCTTCTGTCTAATAACTCTTTATCTGTGATATAACTTAGCAGAGCTATGACAGGATGAATAAATTGCTCTCAGTCACCTAACAGTGGAAATTTTTCTTCACAGCACCATTTTAAAAAGAAAGCAGTTCCCTTAAAATGTTAAATTGATGTTCCAGCTGAGAAAAATAACAGTAACTTTTGAAAGAGAATTTGATTTTTATACACTTCTGGTTTAATATCCAGCAGCCTTAGGTATCTGCAAATATATCTTGAATACATAATCAGCCTATGCTGAAACCAGCACAAGTTTCATGCATCTCTTGTAAATACAACTCCTAAGAAGGGTACTTGCACTACAGCAGTACACAGAAATCACCGCACAAACTTAAAAAGTGCTCTGAAACACTTTAAAGGGTAGTGCTTTCAAGTAAATTACATTCTTCAGTTTTGTAATCTGTCATGTGGATAAAAGTCTCATTTACCAACTGGGAGGGGACTACAAAGCTCTGTTGCTGTAAAAGTTTGATTTTCCATTTCTTGGGACTGGAAAATAAAATACAGATTTGTCCTAGCCTTGTGGCAGAATTGACAAATTATTAGTTCCATTGATTCTCATGGCAGTGAAATTTATCAAACTGAAGTCCATTTGTATTAGCAAAAAAGGTTACATGTCATGGCATGGAAAGCCGTCTTCTCATGCTCTTGCTTTTATACCCTCACTTTCCCCTCACCCCCAAGATCTGTTATATACCTTGTAAAGAACATGGAGAGGTGGATTATAAAGCCTTCTACTTGTTCTTGCCCATTGAACTCAATGCGCTTCATGTCAAAATTGCAAATACACCACTTGCTGTGGAACGAAAATGTTTGCCAGTCTTCAGATGGATTTGGGAGGAGCAAAGGGCTGCGTGCATCAGGCTAACCCACTGCACCCCTTCCCCCAGCCTCCAAGCTTCACTGATGCAAAGGCCTTTTTCAGGGTGTCAGACTAGGAACAAATTTTCTTTTCACTTGATTTCAAGAAAACCCTCTGTTTCCTGCTTGGGCCAGGTTTCTAACCCTGGCTGGTGTAAATCAGCACAGTTGCAGCTGGAGAAGTGCTGGTTTACACTACTGGCACTGCTGAGAAGAGCTGCATTTCCACAGGAGCTGAGCCTCTGAACATCACAGAGGCTCACAAGAAGAGGAGGGTTAAGGGAGATCCTGATTAAAGTTCCATTTGCTGATGCTCTTCACTAATTTATATCCGAGTGCTACTTTGCTAATTAATGACTGCTCATGAAATGCCATGTGTCAGCAATAAATCACTTACTTTTGTTGCACTTCAGTAGTATATGGCTAATGAGCAAGGACAACTCATATAATTAAAGTCTAAAATATCCCTGTCGTTAGGACACAATCAAGTGTTTATGTCTTGCTGTAGTGGGTGGACCAGATTATATCGCTTTCCTGTCTTTGCCTTTGCTAGTTTTATAAGGAAAAAGATGGAGGGTTGAAAAAATATGTGGCAGTAATGTTTTTTCAACCATAGTATTATGAGGAATTGAATCGCATTTTAAAAGAACTAAAATCCTGCCACTTACTTGTATCTGGAGTAACCTTACAAAAAGATTGTCTTAATTATTGCCTCTAATGGGCTTCATCAAGCTTAAAACTGATTAAAAAATAAACAAAAGGAAGAAACACTGTGGATGAAACAGGGCAGTTTAGTGCAAAGTTACAGCAAAATCTGTAGTTTGGTGCTCCACAGATGAATGTAGCTAAAAAAAATGAGAAACAAAATCAAGCCCTCTGTAAATGTACATAGGCAGATGTTCATAGTTTAAGCAACATCCTGAAAAATCTGCAACTGAACCAGTAAACCAATAAATAGTATTTCTCCTGCTTCACCTGGTCAGTGCTAGTACAACTGAGATCTTGTATTTTCATTCATGAGAGGTGAGACCAAGTCTTTGGAGAACATTTGGTCCATCCACGCATGCTTCATCCCTTTCCCCACAATGTTATACCTCACAGTCTCAACCACCGACATAGTCCACTAGTTTTCCTCACAGGAGAGAAAAGAAATTCATATTTCGGAGAGAGTAAGTAGCTACTATTAACCAAAGTGCTCTATATTTGTAACGACATGCACAAATGACATAAGGCAAACAGTTTCCCAGATTCGTCAGCAGGAAAACTGAATCTCATCTCCTCTGCTAAGGGATAAGTCTGTCTCTTGTGAACCCACTTACTCTGATGAGCATCAGGAGGGAGGGGGAGGGATATATGTAGTCTGTATTGAAAAGATAAGACAAAAAAGAAAGACATTATGGAAGGCATGGGCAGAAGAATGAACTTTTTATTTTAGTGTTTTGGATACAAATTATTTTGATGTTTAGGAGTTTAAGTTTGTAATGAAAAACAGTTTTATGAAAATACTGAGACAGTCCTCCCCCCAACATCCCCTAACATCTCTCTCCCACTCCCTTTTACACACACCTATGTGGAAACTCAAGTTTTTGTGTAGGAACAAAATGCTTGTCCAACAGTTATGACCACTCCTGCTGGAGAAAGAAAGAAGTTGTTACTTTTCCAAGAAAAGAGCAATAAAGGTGAACATCCATTTTCCTTGGAACAGGTTCTGAATACTTTCTCAGTGTGAGCAGACCCAATCTTACTGCTCAGCAGTAAGAGCAGCAACAGTTCTCCCATTATCGCTAGCACGACAGATCAACCTTTGTCCTTGTTATTGTCTGTAGCAAGCACTGGGTAGACCCTTTGTATTGGCCTCATATGGAGGTTTAAAAGAAATCCCATGAAACGAGGATCTTTTCTGAAATGACTTCTACAAATTCTCAGAAAGCTTTGTGAGTGCCTGACAAAAGCCCTCATGCTGGTGTATAAAGTGCAGCGGGATTTCCAGCTGTGTGTTTTCACAGGTTTGTTTAGGAAAAACACTCAACTCAGGTTGAGTAGAGAAGACCTGAATCTCCTTATTCTTGAAAACACTTCAGCCCTCCCCACCTGGCCTTGCTTGAATGTTAAACTATGAAGACAGGTGTGCTCCCTGGATCTTATTCCCTTCACCATCCCCCTGTGATCTCCAGTGACATCCTGACACCAGACAGTTCCCCAATGATAAATTGGGGAACAATTCCTCTTGTTGACATCTGCTCTTCCACGTTTGTTTAGCTCTTTGGATGCTGTTTGTTCACATCAACAGGACTGTGGATAACCACCCTCCATCTGAGCAGTGAGATTGTGAGAGAAGACCTTGGATGGAATTAATTTAGGTATGTTTTGTCTCTAGACACCCCTTTTGCGTAAGTCAAGGTTCTGTATAACTGCAGAGTGGAGGCAGGGATAAGAGTATGAGTCTGTCAGAGCATCTGCAAAATGGGCACTTCATGTTTTTAAAAAATATGCACTGTTGTGGAACAGAAGCATAATATATGCCATTAACGTTAGTGTCATTGAGCAGCCTTTAAATTACAGATTGGTGGGAAAAAATTGATATGAAAATGTAAACAAGAGAAAATGAAAACTGTAATAAACTCTCAGCATAAGGATGGTAATCTACAATTAAATGTAAAGACTAAAGTGAAACAGTGTGAAAGATGAGACATATTTCCTATTTTAAAGCTAAGACTGATGGTCTGTCTCTAACCCCCAAAGCTGTGACAAAAACTTAATGGTGTGAAGCAGAGACACCATGTCAGACTTCACTCTACATTCCTGGCTCTGGATGATTTATCACTTGCAGCCATTCTGTTTGCTACTAATTAAGTATGAAAGTTATTTTAGTAAGTTAGCTTGGCTGTGCTGCATCCCCTTTTGAGCTTAGTTGAAAGTGAAAACCAAAGGCCTTTACTGCAGCTGCTGTAAATTCAGGTTCCAAATGTGTTCCTTTGTATTTGCACACTCATAAAATTAAAAAAGGCAGCCTTGATTCTCTGCTGTAGGTGCTCCAACACTTGTTATAAATGCGGTTATAAAACCTGATTACTTTTTAACAAATAACCTGAATATATTATAACATAGCCACAAGGATGGATATGATCTGGATGGCATTACCAGAAGATTCTGTCATTTTTGTTCCCCTGACAGTAGACATATGGTCTTCGTTTTATGCTTTGGAGGGCAATGAACTATTGACCACCAAATGATGGGAGAGAGACACTGGATGCTGAGGCGGCCTTGCTGGAAGTGCCCCCTGGGAGACAGTGCTCAGCAGCACAGGTATTTCTTGGAACTGGAGCTGACTACCAGCCAGGCTCTGTCTGTAGCTCTGACTGCTTTGGAAATGTCAGGAATGTCAGCCAAAGTGGGAGGCTCATGAGAGAGGAAGACGGAGAATCTTGCTTAGCTACAGCAATAGCAAATTTGTGCCTGAATGTGCACTACCACTACCTACTAGCACAGCTCGCAGAGTTGAGTGGAAAATGTACCCCTTTCCACAACTTTCCTGGTGACACATCCTTACTCTGCTGGGAACTCGGATAGACACATACTTATGGCAAGGAGCTGTTTTTTTCCCTGCTCTGTTGAAAATGATTTACTGCTCCTCCTGTTTTGTCAGAGGAGTGCTGGTCACCTTCTGTTTCTTTCCTTTTTTATCTTCTACCCACAGAATATTAGAGTATCCCTCCATTTTCTTTTTCTTAGTGGCAGGTAGGAAGACTGAAGGATAAACTCCAATAAAAGCAGCGCCAGAGTGTCTGGGTAATTGGATGTCTTGTGATTCAAACTATGCTGGAATACAAAATACAAAACTGATGACTGATATGGCTTTTTGTTCTCCAGCCAGCTGATTATAAGGTAAATGCTTCCTTCTTTCTCATATATTGATGATAAATTGAAGACAATACATGTTTGGGCAGTGCAGGGGACCAGACAGTATTCAAGAGGAGGATGTGGAGGAGTTTGTCCCTCCAGGCATCAGGAAATCCCACCGAGCCCTCCTGTCAGAGAGTCCCTGAGTGGGTGGGAGATGGGCAGCATGGATGAGCTGAGAAGGGATGTCAGGGGCACAAGAGACAGTGGGAGTTAGATACCGCAAGCAGCTTCCAGTCCTTCTGTCACGGCTGCAATCATACACCTTGTATCTGCTCCTTTCTCTGAGGATCTTGAGAGTTCTGCTGCAACCCTGCTCCAGCATAACAATGCTGTGCAAAGGGGAAATCTAGTTTTTATTCAGGATAGAGATTTAAGTGTTCCTGTCCAATTCCACACTGAACGGCTGTTTGGCACCTCCTTGTGCAGAACTTCTGAAGAGATAGCCCACAGCAGGCGCTCAAGGTGCTTTAACTAAACATTCAGCTCCTGAAGTCATCACTAAAGTTGCAGTAATCCAGACAATCCTTCAACTCCCAGTTCAGCTCATTAAGAAGTGTGGGTCCCCAGGAGCAGCAAACACAGCACAGGATACCTTGTATGTAATACTATCCTCCGCATGCTAATTTTAACAGGTCTCTGAAAAAGAGGTTCAATTACAGTTTGCCTTGGTAGAGGCATTCTTCTGAGCTGTCTGAACCCTCCCAAGCATCGTTTACAGGCCAGTGTCTGCCAGGCTTTGATGTTTTCTGGAGGAGGTCCAGTCCATGGGCAAGTCACCAGCTCCAGCTCCCTTTGGAGGGGCCAAGCAGCACACGTGCACTGAGTGCGAAGAAGCATCTGGAGGCTTCAGAAAGACAACACCCCACACAGAGAGGTAATCTTAATGCCTGTCCTAGTTTTGGCTGGGATAGAGTTAATTTTCTTCCTAGAAGTTGGTACAGTGCTGTGTTTTGGGTTCAGTGTGAGAATAATGTTGATAACACACTGATGTTTTAATTGTTGTTAAGTAGTGCTTATCCCAAGTCAAGGATTTTTCAGTTTCTCATGCTCTGCCAGCGAGGAGGTGCACAAGAAGCTGAGAGGGAGCACAGCCAGGACAGCTGTCTCAAACTAGCGAAAGGGATATTCCATACCATAGGATGTCATGCACAGTATATAAACTGGGGGGGAGGGGGGTTGGCTGGGGGACAGCTTGGGCATCAGTTAGTGAGCAATTGCACTGTGCATCACTTGTCTTTCTTGGGTTTTATTTCTCTCTCTTTTGTATTGTATTAATTTTCATTACAATTATTATATTTTATTATTATTGCTATTATTATATTTTAGTTTAGTTATTAAACTGTTCTTATCTCAGCCCATGAATTTTACATTTTTTTCAAGTCTTCTCCCTGTCCCACTGGGAGCAGGGAGGAGTGAGTGAGCGGCTGATTGGTGCTTAGTTGCTTGTTAGGGTTAAACCACAACAATGCCTAACAGTTTCACAGAGCCAGAATTGCTTGCTCTTCTGAAAGTAAGAATTTTAGCTGCTTGAAATGATAATATATGATGGGAGAAATTTAGTCTTGATGGAATATTCTTATAAATATTTTATTATTACTTTTCATACTGTTGTGTCTCATTGTGTCTCATGAGAACAAGAGTTACACAATTTGACATTCTATTCAATTCAGAAATTAACAGAGTGATTTTAATGAAGTTCAAATAAACCAGGTATGAATACTGGGATACAAGACAATTATTTTGTTCACACATCAAGAAGAAAAGCAAGCAAAAATATATCTGAAGATTACAAAGATAATGTCAAGGAAAATAAAAAGATAAAAGAATGAGCACAGCTATCATTCCCTTGAATATAGTGAAATGTGTTTTATGACATTTGGCTGTAATCACAATTAGCAATACTCAGGGCTGTTTGCTTGGCTGTGTGTGCAAATCTGAATGTGTGTGTATGAGAGAGGAATAGCAGCTGTACAAATTAATTTTCTTGTGAAGATCTGATTACTCCACCTGTTATAGTCTGTCTACATCCTATATTCCCATCAAGTGTTGCCGATTAGCTTGCAGAATGTAATTGAAGAATGAAAATAGAAGAGCAAAATGTCTGATTTATAGACTGAATTGGATATGCCCAGTGATTTTTTTTTTATATGCTGGTTTAAATATTCTGTTATTAAATTGATTAAATAATTAAATGCTGCCATAAACATGTCAGATGGTATTGCACATCAATTTTCTACTGCTGAGTGGGTCTCATTTACTTCCCAATGTAGTATTACTGAATTAAAGTTGGTGCTAGTCTTGAACAAGGCTGCTAAAAAACGCTAAGGAAAGAAGGAAGGGATGAAAATGCCCTCTATAATAACGTGTCAGTGAAAACACAGTTACCATGGGCATCTCATGCTGTTTGCATGTACTTTATTTGTGTTAAATAAAAAAGCTTTCTTTGATGGGTTGAGCAGAAATGAAAGAATAACTTGTTCCAAAGAGAAAATATGATTTAATGACTCCTTGTTTTCTTTAAAAATAGTTTTGTGACAATATAATCACCAGACCACAAGCTGAACTCCCTGTATGTTTATTCCATTGTAGAACTGAATCTGTGTCTGAGGAAGCATGGCAAGTAAGAAACCCCAAGATCCAAACAAAGCCATTTGCTGCAAATCGTAATGTTAGTAAAACAGATAAAGTAAAAAATGTATTTTGGGAAAACATGTAAGCTGATAAAATCCAGGTGGAACTGCAGGAAATTGGTATAGCAAACTGTTATAAATATTGTCAGCTATAGTCAGAGAAGTAGATCCAGCTGCTGTGTTCAGGAAGGCGAGAGTTGCTGTGTGTTGAAGGAAGAGAAAAATTTGTACCTGCCTTTTTAATGGTACCCTGACTTTGACCTATTACTTGGCCCACTTGCTATTCTCCACCTGTGTGTACAGAAGAGGGGGTAGCAGTTTGCATATCATGCAAAGATAGGGTAAAAGAAAAAGCGTGGGAGCCCATGAAACCCAAGAATTTCCTTCTGCAGTGGCCTTATTGAATGGCTCCTCTGTCACACCCCATCTTGCACCTTCTTTCTGGCCAATAGACCTTACAATATCCAGAGTGTCTTTCTTTGCCATTCAGAAATAGTTGGAGATTTTTCTGGGTTGTGGACAAATCCCGGATGGATTTTGTTTAAGGAATAACTAGGAGTTATGTGCTTTGGATTGGTCGATACTTCATGCCCAGGTCCCTCCAGCAAAATCAGTGGATTCTGGGCTGCAGATCAAGAAGAGATACTACTTGAAGCAGTATCACAGCACCTCTCTGCAGAGGATTAATTCACATGCACAGTCTACACATTGCCTAAATATAAATCTGTGTATAAAAGTTTTTAAAGAATGTTGAGGAAGTTATGTTCATTGACACACTGGTGTTGAGGATATAGCTGGCTTGTCACAGAGGATAGCTCCTTCACTGACACAGGAACCCTCTCAGGAGGAGTAGACACATTTGCATGGAAAGAGATACCATGGTCAATACATTTTGCAAAATGAGTTGAGAGTTTTTGTTGCTGTGCTTTGCTATGATTTTGGGTTTTTGTATATCTTTATTTTTTAAGAGCATTCTGGATGCAGTGTATGTATTTTGCCCCTAAGACCTTACGTATTTTCCCTTTTTTCTTAATGTATTCCATTAATTTAAAGAAAATCAAGGCAGAGGTTGAGGATATATTCCCTGTATTTGGCAAACAGCAATTTCCATACATAGGTTTGCCTTACAGCAAATGTAAGCCTCTCGTTTTTAAACATCCACATGGACTCCATGTTCTAGGAACCCAAATCTGCATCAATCCTCTGCCACAGTGCCCACTTGCATTTCCTCATTCTTTTTCTTGTTCACTGAGTATTTTTGGGACTTAACTGTTTAGTGATTTATAACTTGCATGTGAAGGTAGGCATTTCTGCTGCTTCAGCGGCAGCCAGATGCCTGGACACCTCCCTGCTCGCTGTCATTTTGCAGGTGCAAAGCAGAGGTCTTTTTGCAACTGGTCATTAATCATGAACTGTCGTATTCAGATATAAAGATTGGAAACTGCTTAATGCACTTCAGATTCCCTTGTCAGAGCAGTTCTGAGCTGAGTGAGCACACATAGTCACTATTCTCTGAATAGGTATCAGAGTGGACTGCATTAAAGTCCTTTTTATCGCTTGCTAGCGAAGAGATTCATTAAGAACTTATGGTTCAATGTGCAGTAAGAAAGTTGGGAATTTGACTCACTGGGTCTGAAAGCATGTATTCCAGCTGAAAGGATGATAAAGGAGACAAAATTGGCATTGTGATTTTGAGGCCAAGGTTCCTCCAGATTTATTTAGGAGAACAAGTTAAATAATACTGCGAACAAAAGCAGAGAGCTTATAAAAGGATCAGGATAAATACTGAAAAAATAAAATTATTTTTCAGCAGTAAAAAAACTGGGGAAGGCCAATAGATCTCGATGACAAGTCAGCAATGATCACTAGAAAAAATATACTTGGAATGGACATCTCCACAATTCAAGTGACTGGGTTTACTCCAGGTCTGTATTTCTAAGTCTTAAAAATGATAAGAGTATAAATAGCTCCAATGGTTTGTGGGATTTTTTGTTTGGTAGAAATTGCTATAACTAAGAACAGATATGATTGGAATTTGGAAGGCAACATTTGTCACTACTAAACTTGTTTGCTCATATTTACAGTTCTTGAGGAAGTATCAAACAAGGAAGATTTCAAGTTGAAACAAATCTGCAGTGTTGTTAGAAGACATGAGAAAGTAGCTCCTTTGATATGGTCTCTTTCTGCCTTGTAAATACACTTTGGCAGTTTTACGTAGTACATGGAGAGCTAGACATAAGTGTCTGTACATCTCAGTTCATTCGGCACTATTTGATCTGAGGATTGTACTTTGGTGTACATTTTATTGAATGCAAAACTGAGAAGCAGAGAAGGCTTCT